TTAGGTAAGTATCTTCCATAGCCAAACCTTGAATGAACACTCTCTGCCTCAGTCCCTTCCTCCTACGATGCATACACACCCTTCACTCATGAGGATCTACTCTGAATGTTACTCATAGCTAACTACTAACCCTCTATGTCCTCACTAACTCGYTGGGCAGCTATGGCTGCATTCTTCCCAGCGCACAATCTGTGTCCAACGCATCTTCTTCTTCAGCGCTGCTCCTACTGACTAGCGYACAMGCGCRACAACACTTCCACGCATTGAAGCCAGTGGAGATMTGGCGAGGAATGAGGCTGGCCGCTTCCTTTATAGTGCTGGTCACTCCTCGCTGGGTATGCATTGGCTCAGTCAGCCTTTCCTTTGTCCCAGACCCTGCATTGCATGTGTCCCAGTATAGTCCCAATGAGGTTCAACTGCTGCTTAGGCCTCTCGGCCTAGATTTGGACTTGAAAGTCTGGATCTGGACTGTCCCCTTGACTTAGACCAGAACTGGGACTTTACCTGTTGACTTTACTTTCGGACAGGCACAACTCTGGACGAACAGACACACACACTGCCTGAACAGACACTCTTCTTTGCACGAACAGGTACACTGTCTGCACGTACAGACACACCCTTACTCGAACAGACATGACATGCACATCTTCTGGTGAACAGGTAAGTCTTTTGACAAGTCCCTTTGCTTTAGATTTGGATGTGCCTGTTGATAGAGAACTTGACCTTTGACCTGCTTTCACGTTTCTGAGCCCTGGCGAGATACCCTTTCATGCTGCTTTATAACGTCCATACTGCTTTACTTTTACAAGGCCTGAGGCCTACATCGGGTAAAGGCCCTTTTACTCTCGCCGGCCTAATTTCGAAGTCCTCTGAGAATCATTTACCTATCAAGGATATGAATCCCTCTCTTTGCGTTTTCGTATGCAGACACAATATGAGGTGCAGAATCTAACAGTTCTTTTCTTGTAAACCAACGATCTTCACTAGGATCCTGGTATGCAAACCTTACTTTATATTGTCGCTGTGGTCTGCCCCTACGTCCAGTGTGGTAAGTACTTTCTGCAACAATTTTATCCACGTCATACTTCCCATCCATACTTGGAGGTATCGCTGATCGGCGACTTGGGAAGAGCTCATTCGTTACACAAGGTAAGAGCTTGGATGCATGAAACACTGGATATGTATGTAGATGTAGAGGAATTTCAATGACGTACGAAGGACCATCCACATCTCCAATTACATCTAAAACCTACCAAGGTCCTCGGTAGGCGGGTAAAAGCTTTTGAGAGATGTTTTCTTAAGGAGCAAACTCCTTAGATTTCACCCAAACCAAATCTCCTACAACAAATTGAGATGGTCGTCTGTGTTTATTTGCCTGTTCAATCATCTGATGTTGTGCTTTGAGGATATTTTCCTTCTCTTTCTCAATGTCTTTTATCAGGTAGATCTTCAACATCTATCGTTGCTTCCCTGACCGTCCTCGCCCTTGCAGTAGATAGTCTGCCCTCTCTCACTTCGGATCTCCATTTACTCTTTCTTTTTTCAATTGCGTCGACCAACCTCGCCACCTCTTCCTTTACTTCCTCACTATCATCTTCGGATTCGTCAAAGTAGCTCCACATCTCCTTTATCACTCTAGCCTTCGTACGCGGCGACTTCTTTTTCACTGTGTGAGTAGGTGTCCGACTTTACGATTTCGCATGTTGATTCATCAGCCTTAGCAATTTTGCTTCTAACCGCGCCTTTCTTGCTTCCGCCTCTCTCAGCCTATCACCCTTCCTCTGGTCTTCTTCCTCCCTCATGTGTTTCTCCTCTTCCTCCCTCTCCCTCCTTTCTTCCTTCAACTTCTGTTTTTGTATTTTCTTCCTGAAATATGCCTTCATTTCATTCGTCTCTTCATCTATTAGCGGATTGATACTCTGTTGCTGGTGTTGTTGAGGTGACCGTCCATTCCCGACCGACCAAAAGTTTCTCGCATAGTGTCCGTACATTCCACATATATAACATTGTACCGCACCTTGTTGTGCTCCTCCTGCCAATACTTCTGGCACTTCGGCAGGATAGACATCATTCGGGACCCCCATCTGGTGAGGTGGTATCGCCATCTCACTTTCTACTTCTTCTGGCTTGTTTTTTTCTCCTCAATCTCCTATCCTTGACGAGACACCCCAAGCTATGAAGCCTCCCCAAAACTCTTTCGAAGAGATTGCTTCTTCTTTCAATTCTGAATCACCAAAATGCAACGCAACGAAAACGCTCGGTACCAAACTTTCTTCTAGGATCTTCTGAAATTCACTCCACTGTCTTTCGAACTCTAAGTCCCTAAAATTCCTTGTCGACATCCTATAACTACAGCTTCTCTTACTACCCCCACAGTTCTCCTCAAATCATCACCACGACCTTTTTAAAATTTTTCCCTACTTCCTTGAGTCGCATCTCACTCCTCCCTATCATGCGGATTTCTGTTGTCGATCACGCAACAGTCGCCTTTCGTGTGTCTATTAATCATGATCACCTAAATACTATTCTTGTTTCCGCACGTAAAGAGTGTGTGTGTGTGTGTGTGTGTGTGTGTGTGTGTGTG